GTTATAATCAATTAGTAAAATTTTGAGAATCTTAATATTTTGTATAATTTTATTAATAAAAATACTAAAAATGCTATAATTCTCAAAATTTTACTATTTTATACTCTAAATAAACTTGTTTAGCACATAAAAATACACTATAATAGTATATAATTGATATTTAGTATAGGTAGAAATATATAAATATTATAAGATTATTTAATATAAAAATAATTATTTGAACTAATCTAAACAGATTTGAGAATAGTTAGGGTTAAGGTAAGAGTCATAGTATAGTTTATAGTTAGCTTCAGGTTAGGATTAGAGTTTTTTTATATTAAATAATATCACGGATTATCGTGAAATTGGATCATTGTAAAATTTAGATTTATTTTATATACGATTTTTAAAATTTTTTGGGGTCTTTTTTGTAAGCTTTTTTTTTATAGTTAAGTTAGGGTTTAATGTTAGAATTATTTATAAAAGAGTATTGGTGAATTTTGGTAGGGCTTATATTTTCAAATCAAAACCTCCAAATTTCACGATGATCTGATTTCACGATAATCTGCGACAAATAATCTTATAATATTTATATATTTCCACCTATACTAAATAAGATCCTAGTATATATTTATTGAAAATTCAAGAAAAGATGTATAATTTTGAATTTTTGATTAAAAAATCCAAAATTAAATATTTTTTCTTGAATTTTAAAAAATCATAGTGGTTTAAAAAATGAAATAGTTTATTTTTAAGTATAATTCTTCCAAAATACAGATAATTTGCTAAAAATAAAATATAACATACATAAAATTGATGTAATTTTGACAAAATACTAAATTATGATCTATTATTAAAATTATCATTAATTTGCTAAATCTAAAAATTAGACTTTAAGCCAAATTTTTAACTTTTTGCTAAAGTGCAAGTATGATCTATATTAGAGATGTCCGGGGTCCTTCTAACTTTAACCTAAACCCTAACCCTAACTCTAACCCTAACTCTAACTAATATTAACTTAAGAATTTGCTAGAGGGTGCACTGTGGTATATGGTGCACCAAAATATAAATTTCCTTTTTTAATTCATAAGTAACATTTTATGAATTTTCGTTTGAATTTAAATTACTTCATATATAATATATTTTTTTATCTGTTATATTAGAGTTTAAATCTTTAATCATCTAATCTTCTCTTAAGTTCGGGATTGTTCTTCTTAGATAATTAAAGTTGTTAATTATTATCTTTCTGATCTACTTCATTTAGATATAATAATTTAGTCTTAAATGTTTATATCTTTAAATTTTTTAGAAACTTCCATCTCATCTTGAGAATTTATCCAAGTGCAATAGCATTATTTTGTTTCATGTAAGTTAATTCGGAGTTTAATAAGGTCGATTAATTTTTTTATATATTATTTCATACTTTGGTCGATTCTTTTAAGTTTATATAGATAATAGGTTTATTCATTTTTATATTTTTGTATCAGTCATACTATTGTATATCAGCTTTATCAAACTCAAGACATATTCTACTGTTTCATTACAACATCATATTAAGATAATCGTCTTCTAAATCAGATTCATCTTTCTTTCTAAATAATCCTAAGTTTGTAATATAAAATGTTATATTACTATTGATATATTGATTTTGTAATATATTGCCGTTATGAAAATCTCTATGAATTTATTCAGCTTCGTAAATTTCTATCTAACCATGTTGATAAAAATACTGATCCAATTCTCTTTCGGCGATTTTTAACGTTTTCTAATCTATTAAAAGAATCTATTCGATTACATTTTTATAAGATTTGACTTTAAGTTAAAATTCTTTAATGTAATTATCAACATTGGTATTTCTATTTGTCTTTGCAGAATTGCATTTCAACTTATTTTATCAGTCACTTTTTGTTTTTAATCGTTCAATTTTTCAATAGTTTTGTTGAATTCTAGAAATTATTTAGGTTCGTTAAGCTGTGAAGTATCCTATCTACTATCACTGATAGTTTAGATACCTATGAAGATGTTTGGGTTTTTGATTCCGATTGTATTGGTGACGTTAGCTTTGCAACAGTGGTAGATATTTTTGGTTGTACAGTCTTCTCACTTGGACCAAATTCTATTGATTTCAATTCATTATTCGAAGGTTCTTCAGTAACAGAGCTAGATATATTTTCTGTTTTGGATTTCAGCAATGCTAGAATTTCTGGCATACTTACTTTCACTGAGATGCTATAACTAGCTTCTTCAACTACTTTTAAACCTTGACTTATTTCTTGAGTTAATTCTTCTGTGAGAGTTTCTGTTGATAAAGTATAAACTAAACCTTCACTATTAAACTTTTCTTCAATTATTGAAGATACATCATTATCGATATATATATGTTGGTTCTAGGACTTCATTAGCTTTTTCGATAGCTTTGTCTTTGTTGAAAAATCAGCTAGTAATTTGAACAAGCACTTTGGCATCTAATAAGTCCAAATTCTTAGAGTAAATCGTATATGGCAAAATACATAACTTCATTTTTGAGTTTAAAAATTCGTATAGTATTCAATTTGGTTTAAAGAATTTTATTATTCTTATATAAAGAAGGATCTAAGTTTTACAAGCTTCATTTGGACAATTATTTATTTATTTTTTTTTTAGACTAGTTACTTTCATTCGTTCTTAATTAAATTCTTCGTTCCACTTTTTTTTTTTTTTTACACTATACTATCAAGATTCAATTTTCGCGCAGTACTTATTTTAGCATATGTTTAGCCAGTACGAGACCTAATTCGCGACTTATAGGCTGGACAAACCTCTCATTTTTGTATAGTACCTATTGCAACATATGCTCTGCTAATACTAGGCTAAATCAATGACTTACAGGCAGGGCACCTAACTTTAATAGTACAATTCTTTTTTTGTAGAAAGCTAATTTTCTTATTTTTTTTTAAATTATATTTGTTAAATAAATTAATCAATATCATAATTATTACTTGTTCAACCATGGATCCTTTACTTTTTTTTTTTTTTTTAAAAAAATCGTTTGTAAAGATTGAGAGTGTAATCATAAAGACCATAAAGATGATTGGATCAGAATCATAAAAAGAGAAGTAATAAAGACAATAAAAATCGAAATCGTCATCAATGACTGATAAACTAAATTTGGAAAGTTCATATCTCATAGTTACTACCAAATGTTACGAGATGAATCATATCTTTTAATAAGATAAACATGAAAACAGATAATTTTATAATATAAGGCAACTCGCCAGAGGCATGACGATGGTGATTTAGAAATAGTTTAGTTTTAAAATAATATTATTAAGGTGATTTATTAAATGTTGTATTAGAATCCTGTAGGACCTATATTTACAAGAGAGAAATTACAGGGTTTATATAACTTTCACTACCCTAACGATCTCAAGAGGCTTGAAGTTAATCAAATTTTTTATCATAAAAGATCAAGGGAAAGATCACTATAACTAAGGGGCTTACAAAGATAAGTACAACATAATCATAATAATAAAGGCTTTGCCTTTACAACATTTTTTATTAATACTATTTCTAATTATTTCTTGATTCTTGTTTTTCTTCTCTTTAGATCTTCATTTGTTCTTCTTGGAATTTTTTTTCAAATTTCATGTTGGTTATCATTTCTGATATTTGGTCAGTAAGTCTCATATACTAGTTGATCTAAAATTCTAATAATCGATCTGCTTAAAGTTATAAGTTTGCTGCACTGATTTGTCGATCTACCTTTTAGCCCATGACAGTATTTAAATATTATAATATTATTGTAGTAATATGTTAAAAACTATAATGCTGCAATAACATAAATAATATAGAATAATATTCCTCTAGTGTTTATTGTTTAAAAGTAATCTTTAAATTTAAAATAATATACAGTAAATTTACTAGTCTTGTGAATTGATAATCAAATGATCATCAAAGTTCGTAATGAAAGACCTTATTTTTTTTTTATTATTTGATTAAAGTTATTTTCTATAGTTGGAATAAAGTTTGTTTTTAAATTACTTTAAAATAAAAGGATTTGTTTTTGGATGTTTTAGATTTTCAAATTATTATAATTTGTTCTATATTCTTATTATTGTAAAAGCAATTAACAATTGATATAAATGCCCAAGCTGCAGATCTATAATATAGTTATTATATTTATAATTAAATTGATAACAGTAAAGGAAGTTGTTATATTTTAGTTATAGATAAAGTATTGTGTTTACAAAAGAAGCATTAATAAAGTAAAAAGAACAGGTTTAGTAAATAATATCAAGTTCACTTGATTAAATTAATGCAAAATTAAGTTGTAGTATAATATATGGGGTTTAAATAATAATCACATTTATTGTTAATTACATTTTAGACTATATAAACATGAATCGCCAAATGTATTGTTTAATTTAACATTTATAATTTTAAATTTGGTTTTTATCTCTCTAAAATATATTAATTTTAAAAGTCCCTAGTTGAACTTAAAAGTCTTATAAATATAACCCGAATATGATAAAAAATTTTTTGGAGCATGCTTAAAGCTATCAAGATAATCATGCATGTAGCTCATATTGTGCAGATAAGATAATATAAATCTTTTTATAATCTGCTTTAGTTTAAAGAGAAATGTGGCAGATTATAGAAAAGATCACAACCAATAAATAAGGTGTCTAATGCCAATTATAAACTTCATTAAAGTGATCTGCTGCATACTAGCAAAGAAAGATGAAAGAAGTATTAATTTCAATTCTAACTATCTATAGAGAGTAAAATTCAAGAGACAAGCATCTAATGATGCTAAACTCTAAACTGATTTTTAAAATAAAATAAAAAATATAAATAAATAAATAGAATTTAAAAAAATAAAATAAAATAACTATGTAGAATCTGCAGTATCTCTACAAGATAAATCTAATATTTATACTATTTGTTAATAATAAAAAAACTAATATCTTAATGACCTCTACTGCTATATTTTTGGTCAACAACTCTCCCCGACGATCACTTGTACCAAATTTTTTACACCGAACAAGAACAAAAATTTTGTTGGAGTAGCTGACG